TCTCTGTGGGTAACAATACATAAAAGTTTTTTCTCCGACAACTTAGGTGTGAAACAACTGCGATTGTTAAAGCTTCGCTCTGCACGACGTGCAGCAGGAGAGTGGGGGGGGGGGGGGGGTCCTGACGTAAATTTTCCACAGCGCGAGGGGAAATTTTGAAGATTTATTCTCTCTGTATGTGTTTTAAAACGTTATAGTGTCATTATATTTCGAACTCCTGCTCAGTTGTCTCTGCACTCGCAGACATGCTGACACAGGTGCGATGATGTAATGATGATAGGACAGTAGAGGGTACATTTCTGCCGTAGGCCAACTTCATACTGTTTCTACTGTCTACCGCATTTACCGCGCAGCCCTAGCTGAAGTTTAAAATGATTGGATTGGTTGGCCGCGACGCATGCATGCCAGCTCCACTGTGAAGGAGGCTAAGCTAAGAAGCTAACTGGAAATCGTGTGCGCTATAAACAACCCTACTGAGAGGAGTACTGAGCCGAATGAGACAAATGAGAGCTGCTGGTTTGTCAGACAAATTTAATTAAATTTGGAAGCCTTATCAACACAGACTGGCTTCATTCACTTCCTCCACTGCCGTATGCTAAACTAACTAGCAGACACTGCGCAGAAAATCGACGACATTCAAAACTCCGCCTTCTGTTTGCTGATTGGCCCAGGTAAAAAAAACTACAAGCAGACACTGCACAGAAAATTGACGTTTTGTTCTCTGATTGGCCCGAATGAAATGTTCCTGAAGAAATCCTTGTCTATGGGAGAAGTCCCAAACAGAGCAGTGAAGGGAAACTAGAATTGAGCGGAACTGGGTAGGAAGGCAAGGCTAACAACACACCAGATGTCATGAGACTACTATTAGCATCATAATTATCGTAATCTGCCATATGACAATAAATCGTGAATAATTTTTTTTTGCCAATATCACCCAACCTTACAATCTGGCTCACAAAATCACCTTTAATTTGTTGAGTCATTTCAAGGGGAAAGACACAGGTATAGTTTAACTCACCATCGAATTCAGGGAAATAATCCACCAGGTGCGAGTAGGAGATCTTCTCCTCTAACAAGTCCTTCTTGTTGAGGAAGAGGATGACGGAGGAGTTTTGAAACCAGGGGTAAGTGATGATAGTCCTGAACAGAGCCTTGCTCTCCTCCATACGGTTCTGAGGCACAAAATAAGGAAATGGGAAGAACATGATTAAAGCTGTTTAATTTGCAGAAACATTTGAAAACATCAATCGGAGTGCTACTGGGATTTTAAGTCATAAAAGAAACGTTTACTCTTCTTCACTCACCTCGTTGTCGGACTCCACCAGGACCTGGTCATACTCACTCAGGGCCACGAGGAACATAATGGAAGTGACATTCTCAAAGCAATGAATCCACTTCCTCCTCTCTGACCTCTGACCTCCGACATCCACCATCCTGATGGTAAGAATGCAGTTCAGAGGGAACATGTTACAAACGAAGCCTGGGTGGTTCTGTTCATTTTAAATGAGCTTCTGAAAGTGAACTTGTGTATGATCGGCGTTCACGTTTAACCGTTTCTGAGTTTGTTACCGCTTCTTAAACAAAGATTTAGATTCAATATTAAAAAATAAACCTGACAAGTTGAAACAAAGGTTTGTCATTTTCACTAGTCCAACACGTTCCCAATGAGTGTGAGTGCATTCTCAATGTTAGAAAAGTAGAAAAATGTACAAGAAACAGGGTTCCTACAAATGTTTTAAATTTTCATCCAAATCTTCAGATTTTTTTGTCATTTATTAACTTTTAAAGTCTAATTATCATTAACATCATTTTAAATAATATAACAAGTTTGTAGTGTATGCTAATGGATTTATATTCGGTAGATTTTAATCCTCAATTGAAATATATATATTTATATATTTTCAAAGCATCTTGAATACAACTATGCTAAAGGTGTATTTCCCATAAACACTGCTCTGTTTATTAATTTTTGAACAAATAAGAAGTTTTTTTTGTCTAGACAAAAAATTTTCTGATTAAAAGATGAGAAATTCCATATACTTTACATGCAAGCCTGCTTAAATTCGTAATTTATATGCAATTACATCATTATTTAAGTGTCCGTACGTGCACCTGTGAATCCTCATCAGTTAAACGAATAAAGTCGTTTTCTTGCACAGACAATATGAATTATAAAGATGAGGCAGCCTAACAACAAAGTTTGATTTTCATGTCATTTTTATGTTTGGATGTAGTTGTGCATACAACTAACATTATAGTAAATATGTTCATTTTTTTATTTATAGCTAATGTAAATAATAACCTGCTCAGTACAGCAACCTAAAATATATAATTTTTACAAAATGCAATAGGTTACAAAGTCTGTAAACACTAAAGTTTGTCCATGGTATGTTTTCTATTTTATAATAATAATAATAATAATAATAACAATAATAATAACAATAATAATAACAATAATAATAAC